GGCACCTCGCCACGTCATCCCGAAAGCCAGCCTCGCGCCTCCAGGCGCCGTCCCCACCAAAGTACTGGGCGTCTCCTCCCCACCCCCCCGGGAAAGCACGTTTTGTTATTTAACGTGGTTGTCACGGCGCCATAGTCTCGCCCGAACAATTAAGCATAGTAGCTTCTTATCGTTTAATATCTAGTAAGTGTTCATCGTCCCCACCTGTCTCGTAAACGCCTTTTAAAAATTTTTATTAAATACAGTTGCTTTGGTGTAAGGGAGGATCCGTGTTCCACCTGTGTGTTCAGCGGATAGACCTCCAGCACTTCATTTATTTATTTATACCAGAGGCCCGGTGCACAAAATTCGGGCATGGGGGTGGTGGTGGTGTCCCTCAGCCCAGCCTGCACCCTCTCCAATTAGGGAAACCTCGAGGGATGCCTGACTGGGACCCAGTCGGACATCCCTCTCACAATCCAGGACTGCTGGCTCCCAACTGCTCGCCTGCCTGCCTTCCTGATTGCCCCTAACTGCTTCTGCCTGCCAGACTGATCACCCCCTAACCACTCCCCTGCCAGCCTGATTGCCCCTAACTGTCCTCCCCTGCTGGCTTGGTCACCTCTAACTGCCCTCCCCTGCAGGCCTGGTCCCCCACCAAGTGCTCTCCTCTGCAGGCCTGGGTCCCCCCCCCCCCAACTGCTCTTCCCTGCAGGCCTGGTTGCCCCCAACTTCCCTCCTCTGTCAGCCTGATCACCCCCAACTGCCCTCCCTTGCAGGCTTGGTCCTTCCCAACTGCCCTCCCCTGCTGGCCATCTTGTGTCCACATGGGGGCAGCCATCTTGTGAGTTGTAGGGACAGTCAATTTGCATATTACCCTTTTATTAGATAGGATTTTGGAAATCCTCACCCCGAGGATATTTTTCCCATTGATTTTCAGATGGAGTGGAAGGGAGGGAAGAGGTGGGGGAGCGGGGAGGGGAGAAAAAAAATCCATGTGAAAGAGACACATGGACTGGTTGCCTCCTGCTCGTGCCCTGACTGGGACCAGGGAGCAAAACCCTCAACCGAGGTACATGCCCTTGACCAGGAATTGAACCCAAGACCCTTCATTCCGTGGGTCGATGCTCTGACCGCTGAGCCAAACCGGCCAGGGCTCCGAAGCCTCTGTTAGCCCATGCCAGCCCCTCTCCTGTCGTTTCCTCGCCATTTATATGCTGAAGAAATCTGGGCAGCTGTGTCATAGCATTCCCACGTTCCACATTTTCCCAATTGTGCCCCTGGGTCATGGTTTTGTATGGCCATCAAGCCCTGCATTTTTCCTGTAACACTGCTGTTGATCAGGTCATGCTTGATTTTAGTTTCTAAATATATTTTATTGATTTTTTTTACAGACAGGAAGGGAGAGGGATAGAGAGTTACAAACATCGATGAGAGAGAAACATCGATCGGCTGTCTCCTGCACACCCCCTCCTGGGGATGTGCCTGCAACCAAGGTACATGCCCTTGACCAGAATCGGACCTGGGACCTTTCAGTCTGCAGGTCGACGCTCTATCCGCTGAGCCAAACCGGTTTTGGCTGATTTGATTTTTTTTTTTTTTTTACGCCCATAACCGGAATCAAACCTGGGGCCCTTGAGTCTGCAGGCCGACGCTCTATCCACTGAGCCACACCGGCCAGGCCTCAGTGTAACACGTTTATATTTAGCATGAGGCAGCTGGACTCGGGTTACAGGATCCCAATGTCGTTGGCACCATCCAAAGCATCCGCGTCAGGAGCCCGTGGACCATAAGCTTTCTCCTCTCCATCGGGGCTGATGGGGGTGTTGACCTTGGCCAGGCCAATGTCACAGGGCCTCTCCACTGCCTGTCTGACCTGGTGCTCGTGGACCTTGGCACCCACCATGAACACAGCGTATTGCTGTCTCCTGTCTCCTCCACGGCTGACCCGGGGGTCGGGGGGACTGGACGGTGGCCGGTGGGCAGGGCCCCTGCTCCTCGGCGTGCTTTTCCGAGGACATTTTGGACATTTCCGTGTCTATGGCCGCAGGAAGGCAGGTGACGGGCGGGTCTGCTTTCCCGTGGGGCCGTGAACGCCTCTCAGCACCGCGTCCTTCCCTTCTTGGCTCTCAGCACCGTCTCCATAAAAAGGCTCTCTCGTCCATCGGTCATCTCCTTTCCTTTTGGTGGAGTTCCTGTGCCTTTAAAAAACGGTCTTTCCTGCCGGCTGTTTGAAGGTGCAGCCGGCGGTGTGCACGGTGCCCCGGATTCCCCGGGAGCCGATGCGGGTCACACATGTTCAGCGGGAGCGCCGCGGCGGCCGTGGGGTCAGCCTGCGGTGCTGGCGACGCCCGCCCGCTCCACCCCGGGGGGAAGCGGGTGTGCGGCAGGCTCCTCTGCAGCCGAGGGAGCTCCTATGGCTCCGAAGGTTATAAATGGAGTTTTCTTTTCTTTTTAAAAAATATATATTTTATTGATTTTTACAGAGAGGAAGGGAGAGGGATAGAGAGCTAGAAACGTCGATGAGAGAGAATCATCGCCCAGCTGCCTCTTGCACACGCCCTACTGGGGATGTGCCCGCAACCAATATAGGTGCCCTTGACCGGAATCGAACCTGGGACCTTTTAGTCCGCAGACCGACGCCCTACCGCTGAGCCAAACCGGTTTCGGCTGCTTTTCTTTTTAAAAAATATATTTTATTGATTTTTACAGAGTAGAAGGGAGAGGGAGAGAGAGCCAGAAACATCGATGAGAGGGAAACATCGATCAGCTGCCTCCTGCACACCCCCTACTGGGGATGTGCCCACAACCAAGGTGCATGCCCCTGACTGGAATCGAACCTAGGACCTTTGAGTCCCCAGGCCGATGCTCTATCCACTGAGCCAAACCGGTTAGGGTGCAAATGGTGTTTTCTAACTCTGCAAAGAATTACTCTTTAAAAAATATATCTTGCCGAAACCGGTTTGGCTCAGTGGCTAGAGCGTCAGCCTGTGGACTGTAGGGTCCTGGGTTTGATTCCAGTCAAGGGCATGTACCTTGGTTGTGGGCACATCCCCAGTAAGGGGCGTACAAGAGGCAGCTGATTGATGACTCTCACTCATCGATGTTTCTAGCTCTCTATCTTTCTCCCTTCACCTGTAAAAAAATCAATGAAATATATATTTTAAAAGATTTAAATATATCTATATCTTTATTGATTTCAGAGGGGAAGAGAGAGGGAGAGAGAGAGAGAAACATCAATGCTGAAAGAGAATCCGCTCTATCCACTGAACCAAACTGGCTAGGGTTATCTTCAGAGAAAGAATAGATTGCTAGCTTCCCCAAACACCAAGATATTTGCACACTTGCTCAACCCTACAACGTGCACAGAATAATTTCAGAACCGTTAGCCCTGGACCACTCCTGACAGGAACCCTGTTCCGTGAGGTTCACTGTTTCTCCGCAGGCCTTCCTGTCTTTGGCCTGAGAGCTGGAATCAGAGCTCTCTCTGCATGTTATTGGGTTACTGCGTCCCCCCTCCTGTCCTGGGCCTCATGAGACGTGGAGTTGGTTTTGCTTGTGTGTGTTCATATTGGATTTCAGGTTTCTCCATCCTTGCTGAATGTGTCGTTTGAATAGGGAACATATTGGCATCCTTCCAAAGCTCCAAGTTCAAGGGCGGGTCACTTCCTCCCTGTGGCTTCCTTCCTGCTCTCACCTGCCCCCTGCAGGTCGTCAGCTGCATTTGTTTTCCTTTTCCTTGTCTCTTTCCACAAAAATGTATTCATATATGTGTCGTAGTGTACCCTGCTTTTTTATTTTTTAAAATATATTTTTGTTGATTTCAGAGAGGAAGGGGGAGGGAGAGAGGGATAGAAACATCCATGATGAGAGAGAATCATGGATCGGCTGTGTTCTGCACGCCCCCCACTGGGGATCAAGCCCGCAACCTGGCATGTGTCCTTGACTGGAATCGAACCGGGACCCTTCAGTCCACAGGCCAACGCTCTATCCACTGATCCAAACAAGCAAGCCCCCTTCCCCCCCCACCCCCCATTTTTTTCCTACTTAGTGATGTAGCCTAACTATCAGTGAATTCCATCTCTGTCGGCTCATAGAGCTGTCTCCTCCTCCTTGCACGGTGGCTCGGGACCCTGTGGGTGATGCTTTATAGATCAGTGCATGAATCGAGGGCATCTGGGTGCTTTCTGGTATTTTGCTGCGGCGAATCGACTTGTGCCTGTGAGCTTTCCCGTCGCGGGGCAGATGTGTCTTGAGGGGAAATTCCTAGGAGTGAAGTTGCTGGGTTCAAGGACAAATGCCTCTGTGGTGTTATTAGCTGTGGCCAAACTCTCCTCCAGCAACACAGACGAGCGTCCGTCCCCCTGCCTCGCCAGAAGAACATCTTGTGAAAAAATATTTTTAACTTTAAAAAAATATATTCTTAATTGATTTTTTTTTTTTTTTTTTTTTACAGAGAAAAGGGAGAGGGACAGAGAGTTAGAAACATCGATGAGAGAGAAACATCCATCAGCTGCCTCCTGCACCCTGTCCACTGGAGATGTGCCTGCAAATCAAGGTACATGCCATTGACCGGAATCGAACCCGGGACCCCTCAGTCCGCAGGCTGATGCTCTATCCCCTGAGCCAAGCCGGCCAGGGCAAGAAAACAAATTATTTTTTAAAAAGAGAAGACATTAGCTGAGACCGGTGTGGCTCAGTGATAGAGCATCAGCCTGTGGATTGAGGGGTCCCGGGTTCGATTCCGGTCCAGGGCATGTACCTTGGCTGCAGGCACATCCCCAGTGGAGGGGGTGCAAGGAGGCAGCTGAATGATGTTTCTCTCTCATCGATGTTTCTGACTCTCTATCCCACTCTCTTCCATCTGTAAAAAATCAATAAAATATATATTTAAAAATATAAAAAATTAAAAGATAGACATTAGACCAGGCCAGTGTGGAGAGGAGAGGGAGAGAGCTGCAGTGGGAGGTGGCAGGGGGAGGGTCCGCGGCTGGCGGACCACGGGCGCCCTCTGCCCACAGGCCTCTCCCTGGTGGTGGGCTTGGTCCTGTACATCTCCAGCATCAACGACGAGGTCATGAACCGGCCCAGCAGCTCCGAGCAGTACTTCCACTACCGCTACGGCTGGTCCTTCGCCTTCGCCGCCTCCTCCTTCCTCCTCAAAGAGGTGACGTCCCTGGCCCATGCGGAGGGCTGGGGGCCTGACTCCTGGGTCTGAGGGAGGAGGACTGGGCTCCTGGGTCTGAGGGAGGAGGCTGGGGCCTGGGCTCTTGGGTCTGAGGGAGGAGGCTGGGGCCTGGGCTCCTGGGTCTGAGGGAGGAGGCTGGGGCCTGGGCTCCTGGGTCTGAGGGAGGAGGCTGGGGCCTGGGCTCCTGGGTCTGAGGGAGGAGGCAGGGGCCTGGATCTGGGTCTGAGGGAGGAGGGCTGGGCTCCTGGGTCTGAGGGAGGGGCAGGGGCCTGGGCTCCGGTCCGGCTCTGGACGGTGTCTCTCCGCAGGGGGCCGGCGTGATGTCCGTGTACCTGTTCACCAAGCGCTACGCGGAGGAGGAGATGTACCGCCCGCACCCCGCCTTCTACCGGCCGCGCCTCAGCGACTGCTCCGACTACTCGGGCCAGTTCCTGCAGCCCGAGTCCTGGCGCCGCGGCCGCAGCCCCTCCGACATCTCCAGCGACGTGTCCATCCAGATGACGCAGAACTACCCTCCGGCCATCAAGTACCCGGACCACCTGCACATCTCCACCTCGCCCTGCTGAGCCCCCTCCCGGGGAGCCCTCCTCCCGGGGAGCCCCATCCACCTCCCGGGGAGCCCCCTCCTCCCGGGGAGCCCCATCCACCTCCCGGGGAACCCCATCCACCTCCCGGGGAGCCCCTCCTCCGCCCGGGGAGACCCCTCCTCCCGGGGAGCCCCCCTCCTCCCAGGGAATCCCCTCCTCTCGGGGAGCCCCCCTCCTCCCGGGGAACCCCCCTCCTCCCAGCGGAGCCCCCCTCCTCCCCGGGAACCCCATCCACCTCCCAGGGAGCCCCCCCTCCTCCCCGGGAACCCCATCCATCTCCCCGGGAACCCCCCTCCTCCCCGGGGAGCCCCCCCTCCTCCCCGGAGCCCCCCCCCCCCTCCCCGAAGGCCTCCCCCCTCCTCCCCACGGAGCCCCCCTCCTCCCCGCGGAGCCCCCCCTCCTCCCCGGAGCCCCCCCTCCTTCCCAGAGCCCCCCCCTCCTCCCGGGGAACCCCCCTCCTCCCCGGAGCCCCCCCTCCTCCCCGGAGCCCCCCCTCCCAGCAGCGCAGCTCCCTGGCTCCCGGGTCTCCGCTGCGCCCCCCCCCACCGGGACGCCGCTCTGGCTGTGGCCCCGCCCTCTCCCCAGTGACCACACCCATCACCAAACCCCGCCTCCTTGTCCACAACCCCGCCCCCTGTCCTGGCCATCCCCTCCCACGCCATTGAGCCCGTCGCTTCAAAACGGCCACGTCCCTCTAACCCCGCCCCTTTCTCTGAAGCCACGCCCCACAGCACCGCCTACTGTCTCCGAAGCCACGCCCCTCCAGTACCCGCTCCTTTCTCTGAAGCCACGCCCCCTCTAGTATCGCCCCTTTCACTGAAGCCCCGTGCCTCCAGTCCCCGCCCCTTTCTCTGAAGCCACGCCCCTCCAGCACTCACCTCTTTATCTGAAGCCACGCCCCTCAAGCACCGCCCCTTTACCCGAAGCCACGCCCCTTCCCAGGCCCCGCCTCCCCAGCCTAGTCCGTCCTCTGGGTTCCATCGCGCCCCCCTGCCGCCTTCCCAAAGGGGCGCTGGGCTGGAGATGGGGCGGCAGCCGCCAGGAATGCCAGCCATCCTCTTCTCCCCGCTGCCCCCCCCTTGTCTGTCCTGGCCCGTCTCCCCCCCAGCCCCCATCTTGGGGTCCTCGTGGGCAGGGAGGGGCCTCTGCTGCACCCACAGACGGGGGAGCGGGGGAGGGGGCCTGGAGGCAGTGGGTCGGGTTGACCCTGTCCCCCCACATTCTCTGCTCCCGGGGAGCCCCCCTTTTTCCTCTCGGCCTCCCGGGGGCCACCTGCCGTCTGACTAGTGTTCTTGCTTCTCTGCTGCCCTTCGCTTCTCTCCCTCCCGCCCCTTCCTCCTCTGACCGTCTCCTCCCTCCCGTCCGTCCGCCCGCCCCAAACCCCTGGGCGCCCCCGGCCCGCACCCCGCCCAGGAGGGGGACCGGGGGTTCCCCACACCTGCGCCCGCCTCTGCCCCCTCGAGGCCCCGTCGGGGGAGGGAGAGACAGTAGCGGGGGTCCACACCCCCAAACCTGGAAGTCTTCCATTTTTCTGGCACCTCCCCCTCCCCCACCCCTCCCCCCATCTCTGAAGCCCCCCTCCCCGCCTCAGACCCCAAACCCTGGCCTCTCTCTTTCAAGGGCCCGTGCTCCCCCTTGGACAGATTTTTTTTTGGGGGGGGTCCCAGAAATTCGCCCCCACCCCCCTTGTCAGGGGAGGAGGACGAGGTAGCACAGCGTCTACACGGAGGCAGCAGGGCCCGGGGCGGGGGGAGGCCGGGCGGGCGGGGCTTTTAGTTCGCATCTTGGGGGGGCGGGGGGCGGGGCCGGGGCAGTTAACTCGTCTTTACGCAGCGATTTTTAACGAGGCTGGGGGGGGAGGGAAGGGGGTGGAGGGGAGGGTGGGGGGCCTGGCTCTGTTCTTTACCGTGTATCATATGTAAATACCGAACAGAAACTTCAATAAACTTTATTTCAAACACGTCTCTGCGCCTGCGGGGTGCGGGGTGGGGTGGGGGTGGGAAGCGGGGGGGGGGGAGCGGGATGCTCAGCTCCAGAAGGCTGGGGGTGGGGGGTCTATACCCCTAGGGTCAGGGAATGAGGTTAGATTGGCGTTTGTTGAACTTTATAAAACATGCAGGATAGCAAGAGACTTTGGTCAGGATCAATAAAAAATGAGCTCTGCCCACAGACATGAAGTGTTTTTTAAAAATATATATATTTTATTGATTTTGTACAGAGAGGAAGGGAGAGAGATAGAGAGTTAGAAACATCAATGAGAGAGAGTCATCGATCAGTTGCCTCTTGCACACCCCCTACTGGGGATATGCCCGCAACCAAGGTACATGCCCTTGACCGGAATCGAACCCGGGACCTTTCAGTCCCCAAGCCGACGCTCTATCCATTGAGCCAAACCGGTTTCGGCATGAAGTGTTTTTTTTTTTTGTTTGTTTGTTTTTCTTTTCTGTGTGTGTGTTTTTAAATATATTTTTATTGATTTTTTTACAGGGAGGAAGAGAGAAGGATAGAGAGAAACATCGATGACAGAGAATCATCCATCAGCTGCCTCCTGCACACCCCCTACTGGGGATGTGCCCGCAACCAAGGTCCATGCCCTTGATGGAAATCGAACCTGGGACCCTTCAGTCCGCAGGCCGACGCTCTATCCACTGAGCCACACCGGTTTCGGCCAGCAGCAGGACTTTATAAAACATGCAGGACAGCAGAAGACTCCAGTCAGGATCAATACACAGGCGCTCTTGGGATTGCTCTGCCCACAGACATTCAGTGTTAGCCGTTCATGGCACACCTACTGTGTGAGCCACACATTCCTCTCAGGAGCTCAGGGCAGGCTCCCAGCAGCCCCGGTGTGGGGGATTATCACCCACACGCATACATGCACACGCACACGCATACATACGCACACGCACACACAGACACACACTGGGCTCAGACTTGTGATCGCACCGTCTACAGTGAGGGTCTAAAAACAGCCTGGATGTTTGAAAAGCTTGCTCTTGAAATGTGTCTGAAAGGAAACACAAACACAGTGCTAGCCCGTCAGTCCTGTGCCCTGGTTTTGTATTGTTATTATTTTTATTTTATTTAAAAATATATATTTTATTGATTTTTACAGAGAGGAAGGGAGAGAGATAGAGAACTAGAAACATCAATGAGAGAGAAACATCGATCAGCTGCCTCCTGCACAGCCCCTACTGGGAATGTGCCTGCAAGCAAGATACATGCCCTTGATCGGAATCGAACCTGGGACCCTTCAGTCCACAGGCCGAGGCTCCGTCCACTGAGTCAAACCAGTTATGGCTGTTATTTTTGTTGTTGTTGTTGTTGTTAATTAAATTTTAAAAGTTTTATTATTTTTCTTTTTTAAAATTTTACCTGATAATTGTTTTTGTTTTATTTTATTTTTTAAAAATATATTTTATTGATTTTTTTACAGAGAGGAAGAGAGAGGGATACAGAGTTAGAAACATCGATGAGAGAGAATCATCGATCAGCTGCCTCCTGCACACCCCCTACTGGCGATGTGCCCGCAACCAAGGTACATGCCCTTGGCCGGAATCGAACCCGGGACCTTTCAGTCCCCAAGCCGACGCTCTATCCATTGAGCCAAACCGGTCTCGGCAAGTTTTATTATTTTTCAAGTTTTTTAAAAAATATATTTTTATTGTTGATGGTATTATAGATATCTCCCATTTTTCTCCCCCTTTCCCCCTCCCCAGTCCCTACCAACTTCCCTTCTTCCCTCCCACCCCCATCTTAACCACCCTGTTGCTGGTGTCCATGGTTTATCTCTACTTGTTGTTTTTAATATATTCTTATTGATTTCAGAGAGGAAGGGAGAGGGAGAGAGAGAGAGAAACATCAGTGATGAGAGAGATTCATTGACTGGCCGCCTCCTGCACACCCCTGACTGGGGATGGAGCCCACAGCCCGAGCATGTGCCCTTGACAGGAATCGAACCTGGGACCCTTTAGTCCGAAGACTGCCACTCTATCCACTAAGCCAAACCAGCTAGGGCAGTTGTTTTTAACTCATCACCTGAGATTACGTTTTTTAAAAAAATATAAAAAATATATTTTATTGATTTTTTACAGAGAGGAAGGGAGGGAGATAGAAAGCTAGAAACATCGATGAGAGAGAAACACCGACCAGCTGCCTCTTGCACACCTCCTTCCGGGGATGTGCCCGCAACCAAGGTACATGCCCTTGACCGGAATCGAACCCGGGACCTTTCAGTCCCCAAGCCGACGCTCTACCGCTGAGCCAAACCGGTCTCGGCTGAGATTACATTTAGAGGAAAAGGAAGGGAGAGACCGAGAGAAACACTGACCATGGGTGCCCCGACCGGAAATTGAACCTGGGACCTTTGGGTGTACACCGGACAACACCCCTTGGACTGAGCCACTTTGCTTTCCCTTCATTTAACCCCCGGGCACCCTCAGAACGTCAGCCACACCCACATTTTATCAAGCACGTGGGGTGTTGGACAGGGGTGCGTGCTGAGCGCTCCTCACTGATTCCCAGATTGGATTCTCCTGAGCACGAGGCGGCCCTGGGAGCCCATTTTGCAGATGGAGAGACTGAGACTCAGGTCCGTCTCGCTGGTGGATGCAAAGGAGAATCCACATGCAGGTCTGTCTGACCCCACGGTCCACTCTCTGAGCGGCTGCATTTTTACTGCCTTTTAGGAATCGGATGCAAACTCCTGTGAGCAAGTCTTTTCCATCTCTGGGGGCTCCGGTCTCTGTCTGGGTAACAAGGGAGGGGGTGGCCGAAACCGGTTTGGCTCAATGGATAGAGCGTTGGCCTGCGGACTGAAAAGTCCTGGGTTCGATTCCAGTCAAGGGCACACGTACCTTGGTTGCGGGCACATCCCAGTGGGGGGGGGGTGCAAGAGGCAGCTGATCGATGTTTCTCTCTCATCGACGTTTCTGACTCTCTATCCCTCTCAATTCCTCTCTGTGTAAAATCAATAAAAA